TAGAAGAAAATGTGAAATATCTCATCAGAAAAACAACCGACCTTGAAAATAGATTGAGGGGAGATAATTTAAAAATTATTGGACTAACTGAAAGCCATTATAAAACAATAAATAACCTAGACATCATATTTCAAGCAGTTTTCAGAAGAAGAAATCAAAGCTATCTATAGGCATATGAAAAAATGCTTCAAATCACTATTGATTAGAGAAATGTAAATTGAAACAACTCCAAGATACCACCTCACACCTATCCGAAATGATAAATGCTGGAAGGGAAGAGGGAAAATAGGCACACTAATGAACTGTTGGTGGAGTTTTGAATTGGTCCAATCATTCTGGAGAACAATTTAGAATTATGCCCAAAAGTTTATGAAACTGTGCATACCCTTTGACCCAATAATACCACTACTAGATTTGTAATCCAAAGAGATCAAAGGAAAAGGAAAAGGATACACACACACACACACATACACACACATACACAAAAATATCAATAGTAGCTCTTTTGTGGTGGCAAAGATTGGAAATTAAGGTTATGCCCATCAATTGGGGAAGGCCCAAACAAGTTATGGCACATAATTGTGATAGAGTACTATTGTCCTATTTAAAAAAATGAGGGGGATAGTTTCAGAAAAACCTTTATGAACTGATACAAAGTGAGTAGAACCAAGAGATCATGGTATGCAGTACCAGCAACACTGTAATGATGATTAACTATGAAAGACTTAGTTACTCTGATCATTACAATTATCTAAGATAATTACAATTCTTGAAGTAAAATGCTATTCACCTCCAGAGAAAGAAATGTTGAACTCTGATTGCAAGTTAAAGTACAGTTTTTCACTTTCTTTTTCTTGCTTTTTTTGTGATATGGCTAATATGGAAATATGTTTTTCATCATTTCACATGTATAATTGATATCGTATTTCTTGCCTGTTCAGTGGGGAAGGCTGGGGAAGGAGTGGGAGGGAGGGAGATAATTTGAAAACTCAAAATTTAAAAAGAAATGTTAAAAACACATAAATATTGTGTGTTTTTAAACTAAAAATAAGAGAGATTACACTAAACCCCATCTAGAATTGCAGTGGATGGAGTACTGGGCCCAGAATCAAGAAAGTCTGAGTTAAAATCTCAGCTCAAATGTATATGACAGGCTGTGCAAGTCACTCAAACTTTTCTTTAGTTTCCACTATTGTAAAAGGGACATGATAATACACATACCAGGGTTATTGTGAGGATTAAATCTGATAATATTAATAAAGTGCTTAGCATAGTGCACTTAAGTAGGAGTTAAATAAATGGTAAGTCCCTTCCTTATCACCCCCATCTCTGAACTTTCTATCCCTAGATCTTTATTTCCAAACAATTACTAGATATTTCCACTAAATTGCTAGCACCTCTAACTCAACATATACCAAACTAAACAAGCTTTCCCCTCAAATCCTGTTCTTCTGACTTTCTTGTTTGTTTGTTTACAAATACAGTTTCATTCTTCCTGTCACCCAGGCTAAAAAATTCAGAGCATTTCTCACACTTCTTCTTTTCCCATTCCTTGCATTTGATTTTCACCAAATCTTGTTTAAATGTGTGTGTATACATACATACACATATGTACATATACATATATACATACATACATGTGTGCATATGTCATATCTATAAATATAGATAGATACAGATATAAATATAGATGTAGGTATCTGTGTAGTATTTCTTCTATGCTCTCTCTGTATTTCTCATTATCATCATCAGTTACACAGTTCAAATCCACAATACCTCCAATCTGGATTTTTGCAAGTCTCCAAATTGGTTTACCCACCTCCATTTCTCCTCACTCAAATTCCATCTAACAATATTATGTTAGTTTATCATTTTGATTATTACTTCCCTAATCAGAAACTTTCAAATGTTCTTTATCCGCTAGTGAATAAACTCCAAACCTTTGAATTTGTCAGTCCAGGACCCTACCATAACATGAGTATAGTATTCCTTTCCAGTTTTATAGACCTGCCCCTCACCTTGTCCTACTCCCCTTCACACCTGACTCCACCATAAGCAAACTGGGATTATTATTGCTACTTGAACAATGTTCCTCATTCCTCTCACCAGGCTGTACTCCAGACATCTTCTACCTTGCCCAAACTTTTCATCCTGAAGCCTTGCTCCAGCCCTGTAATTAACACATTAGAACTACTTTCAGTCCGTAGGCCATAATCTCACATTGAATGACTTCTACTAGAACTTCCATTTAAGAAGGGTACCCAGGTCAGCCATACCTTACCCCCCAGCCCAGGCCCTGCAGAATGTAGGCTCTCTGAGGACAGTGACTATCTTACAGACAAACTTGTATTTGTATTCCCAGTGCTTGGGACATAGTAAGCACTAAATAAATATTAGCTGACTATCTGATTTAATCTGATCTACCCATGTCTTTCTCATATTTTTACTTGTATCTGGATTCTTCTTATACCATAACTCTAGTTTGGCAAATGCTAGCCTTTCTTCAAAGCCTTGCTCAAATTCAGACTCCTCTATGAAACTTTCCCCGATCCCTCACCTCATCTCCCCTCATTATAGAATGATTTCTCCATTTTCAGAATTCATATAATACTTTGTATTATATGGTGGTGTAGTAGATAGAGAGCTGAGTTTGTTGTCAAAAAACCTTAGTTAAATCCTACCTCAGTGCCTTCCTGACCCTGGACAAATCACTTAACCTGTCAGATCCTTAATTCTATCATTTGTAAAATGAGAATAATAATTCTTATACTACTTACTTTACTTGATATTATGGAAATGTTTTGTGCACCTTAAAGAATTTGATAAATGTAAATGATAATAACGATTTGATGATGATAATTGATGATTAGACTATTAAACCTTGGAGTATATTCTTTATTTGTCATTGTATCACCCATGATAGCCAGCATAAGTTTTTGTACATAGTAGGTGCCCACTAAATAACTGTTGAATTAAATCAAGGCAATTCATTGTCTTTAGAAGAACAATTGCATAAATTAATGTGACTACGTCTGGAAAATGAGGGTTAATCATCTGTATCTTACATAATAAAATGGGACATATTATCTCCAGTATATTAGCCTAAATTGAAATTGTTTTCACTCACTAATATTATTTATAGTAAAATATTTATAGGTGAAATTAAAATATTGCCTTAAAGTATTTTAAGATTTTGTATTATATCAACAATTGTATCAACCTATCAACAAAAACAAATTATCTAATAAACATACAACATAAAGAAATCAGTCTTACTTAAAATTCTTAGCTTTTAGAAAAGTAGAACCGGCCAAGTAGCTGATGCATTTTTTTTTTATTCTTAGTGATTATGTATATGGAAGATTTGAGGGTGGGTGCATAGGGATTCATCTCATATCCTGCTACTTTACTAGAATTGTTTATTGTCTCCACTAGGGGAAGGGTTGTCTTTCATTGATGATCAATTTAATTCAATTTAATGAATAGTAATCAAGTACCTCTATGCAAGGTGTTTTGCTGTAGGCTAGGAAGGTAATGAGAAAAACAAAACAATCTCTCCTTTCAAGAAACTTACATTCTACTGTAGCTTAAATTTCCTAGACATACAAATATGTCTTCTATAACTAAAAATGTTATAATTTCATCACTGTCAGTACCCATTCCTTTACCTTTTCATGTTCAATTGTTATCACTAAAATTTTTAATTCTATGTTTCATAAGAGTGATGGCAGTAAGCAGTTCCATTTTACCTATCTGTAGTAAGGAATGTTGTACAACAATTTCATTGATTATTCCCTGTTTTGGTTGAGAAATTGTTCATGATCCTTATTAATGCTGAGTTCCTAGACATCAGGATCTGGGCTTCTATAGGGAGAAGTCCTGAAAAGCATCAGCCTCTTGAAGATAAGAGAATTATACACATGGCTCCAGATCTAGAGATGTAGGGGATGGAATCATACTATAGAGAAGCTAAAAAAAAGTTTGTGTCCTATTCCACTATTCTAAGTTATTTGGACAGGGCAGGTCTGATAAGAATGGAGTTGCTACTCCAGTAAACTCAGATGAATTTATTGAGAACACAAGCCTTTGGAGTAGCATTATAAAGTAGGAGGAGGCCAATGTAGGTGTCTGAGGTATAGATAGTACTTACTGGAATGTCACAGGGTTGTCTTTCTAACGAACTCATGTTTATTTCCCTTCCAAAGGATGTCCAAACCACAGGGTGGCACTATGTGTCTGAAGGACTGTATAGGTCCCTGGGGGGAAGGTGAGACTCACTGGAAAGGGAAGAGAATTTTAGAAAGAGTCGCGCTGCTGTGAGATTCCTTTGTCTGTTTGGCATTCTCCTTGTGGGATGAAGTAAAGGTCATTCTTTAATTAAGAAGACCTTGGCTCCCTATACAGGAGCTAGGGGATCTTTTTACCCATATCCTTGGAGGATCAGACATGAAGTATAAATTAAGATTCCCAAAGGAAACTCTGGATAGGAGTAGAATGACCCAATGAGATATGTTTTGGAAGATAGTCACCCAACATTGAAGCTAATCTGTGAAAACCCAGAGTTTGTGATTTTGGCCACAATACTAAATGATAACATGAAAGAATACTAAGCCTAAAAGAATAACAACACAAAATATTTCGGAGGCAGTATGTAATTATTACATGAGTGTTATTGGTGATGTATGCTGAGGCAAAAGCAGGAAAGATACTTGTGTGCTATATTGGTAGCATTCTTGGTAGAAGGAATAACATGAAAAACACTCATAGAGGAAGGAAATAATACTTAGTATGGTTAGTGAGTCATTTAAGTACACTGGACCTTAAGCACTAGGGGTGGTGAAAGATAGACAGATTGTCAAAAATGTAGTATAGAAAAAAAAAGAGCCTGGTATCTCTCCTCCCTCTTGATGCAAGAAATTCCATTTAAGAACTGGTCCCCATTTTACTCAAAACAAGCAGTTACATGTCTTCTGTGCCCTTCATTCTAACCCCACTCTTACCTTGCTCTATCTTGTCCTTGCTTCAGTGTCAATAAATGAGGCATTCCTGTCCAAACAACATAAGAAAAAAATGGGATTTTATAGACAGAAATCTTGAGAAAATTTTTTGGCAGGAATGAAGCTGGGACCCCTAAAATCTATTCAGGAAGAACTCTTTAACAGGGCTATCCATTAGCTTCATCTGTCTGTCTGTGTTCCTGAAATAAACTTGTTCCAGACCTAACTTTCACATATTGGCAGTACCCCATTCCCTTTGATTTCCTAGTTACTCCCAGAACCTCCATTTTAAGGAGGATGCCCAGGCCACCCATATCTTCATTCCTTTTCTTGCTGCACTCTTGACTTTTCTCTGAGACTTTCTCTATGATGACCTCAGCAAAGCACTTTAATCACTGAACCCACCACCAGAATGTGTTATCTCTTCTCATTAGAAAATACACTCTTAGAAGGCAGGGCTTACTTTCTTTTCTGCTCATATGTATGTTCCCAATGTTTAGCATAGTGTCAAGAAAAAGTAAATATTTAATAAATAAACACATGTTGATTTGTTGATTTCTGTGGATTTGACTAAATTGTGAAGTCTTGGTTCTTTGCCTTGACATGATTCATGAGGAATAAAGGGATATATTCACAGAGGAATAGTGGGCAGATAATCCTGGAAATGTAGTCAGGGAGCTACACTGTAGAGGGCCTTGAATATTAGGATGAAAATACAGAATTTAGATTCCATCCAGTGGAGCAACAGTATCCAAATATATATATTTTAGGAGGGTAAAAAATTGAGTATAAAATCCCAATATGTGCATATTTACTTATCTATAAAGTACATGCATGTGTTACTATGTCAATGATTGTGTATATTATATATTTTACAAAAAGTAGAAATTAAAAAAGAATGAAGTAAAGACTAAATGATTGATCCTAGAGTTATTAGGGAGCTACCGGAGTTTATTGAGAAGAGGATTGATGTAGATATGTGTTTTAAGAAAAACACTTTGGTAGCTATGTGGAAGATGGATTGGAGAGGAATAGATTTGGGGTTGTGAGATCAATCAGGAGACTATTGCAAATAATCCAGGCAACAGGTGATGAAGTCCTAAGCTAAGAAGGGAGCTATGTAAATGGGGAAAAAAATAGTTGGGAGAGAAGCGGATTTAGGAGAAAACAAAAGACTTGTCAACGGATTGGTATGTGGGACAATTGAAAATGAGAAGTAGAAGATGACAACTAGATTGTGAATCTGGGTGACTAGAAAGACAATGGTGACATTGATGAATATAGAGAAGTTCAGAACAGGAGTAAATGAGGGTGGGGTGGGGTAAATAGAATACATGAAATGTGTTGACTCATCCATGCTTGATTATCCTGTCTGACATATTCTGAGTGATCACTATTACAGGATGCAGAGTCTTCTCTAATGAAATGATTTGGGGGGAAAGAGGTGGGCATTCTAGGAAGAGAGATAGTGGATTGATTATAGTTGCCTTAAAGAGGAGAGGTTAGTAGCTTGACTAAGGAAGGGAAGAGGGAGGAAACTGGAGGAAAAAGATTAGGTGTGGTTGTGTTGGTGACCAGCCTTGTGATTGGTCATAACAGGGAGGGTGGGATGTGAGCCATCTTCTCTTCCTCTGATTAATGATATGTCTGTTTTTCCTTCTTCAACCCAATTCAAATGAAAGTGAGGTTCAAGCACTGCCTGCCACCACCCTTCTACTATAGAAGCTCTTCATTGTGTGCCTCTCTTATGTAAGAAATTTTTTCCCATTCTACCTCTCCTTTCCTCCTTCTCCCAGTGATTCCCTGTCTTACTTCTTAATATATTTTTTAAATTATTCCAACACAATTGACTTACACTCATTCCCTCTGTCTATGTAAACTCCTTTTAACTGCCTTAATAATGATAAAGTTTTTAGGAGTTACATTTATCATGCATTTACCAAAAGGAATTTAAACAGTTTAACTTTATTGAGATCCTTATGATTATTCTTTCATATTTGCCTTTTTTTTTCTTTTTTTTTTTTTTGCTTCTCTTGAGTCTTGTGTTTTAATGTTAAATTTTCATTCAGCTCTGGTCTCTTCATCAGGAATGCTTAAAAATTCTCTATTTGATTTATTACTTAAAGGATACTGTTGCTGGATAAATTATTCTTGATTGTAACCCTGGCTCCTTTGCCTCCTGGAATATCATATTCTAAACTCTCTTCTCTTTTAATGTAGAAGCTGCTAAATCTTATGTGATCCAGACGATATTTGATCCATTTCTTTCTGTTGCTCGAAGTATTTTCTTGTAGATTTGGGAGCTCTGGAATTTGGCTATAATATTCTTGGGAGTTTTCATTTTGGTATCTCTTTCAGGAGGTGGTGGATTTATTTTTTCAATTTCTATTTTACCTTCTGAATCTAAAATATTGTTTCTAGAGTTAATAAGGAAGACCCTAGAGTTTATTGAGCAGGAAAAACGACATGAGCAGACCTGCAAATCAGGAAAAAAATCACTTTTGCAGCTGTGTAGAGGATTTGACTAGAAAGGGAATAGTCTCAAGGTGAGAGAGCAAATTTGGATACTTTTTCTATCTTAGAATTATCCAAAGATGGATAAGGTGGGATGCACCAGATTGATGGAGGTTCTGGGAGTAACTAAGAAATCAAAGGGAATGGGGTACTGCCAATATGTGAAAGTTAGGGCTGGAACGAGTTTATTTCAGGAACACAGACAGACAGATGAAGCTAATGGATAACCCTGTTAAAGAGTTCTTCCTGAGTAGATTTTAGGGGTCCTTTTTATATTTTTGGGGTCCCAGCTTCATTCCTGCCAAAAACTTTTCTCAAGATTTCTGTCTATAAAATCCCATTTTCCTTTATAAATTTTTGAAGTCGAGGTTATTTTTTGTTTTAATCATGGCTTTCTGGTAGTGCAGTAATTCTTTTTTTTTTTTTGGCTAGGCAATGGGGTTAAGTGACTTGCCCAAGGTCACACAGCTAGTAAGTATTAAGTGTCTGAGATCATATTTGAACTCAGGTCCTCCGGACTCCAGGGCCGGTGCTCTATCTACTGCGCCACCCAGCTGCCCCAAGGCCAATAATTCTTAAAATATCTCTCTTCAATCTAGGTCAGTTGTTTTTCCCATGATATATTTCACATTTTCTTCTATTTTTATTGTTTCTTGATATTTTGTGAAGTTATTAACTGTCACTTGCCCAATTCTAATTTTTAAGCAATTATTTGTTTCAGTGAGATTTTTTTGCTTCATTCACCACTTGGCTAATTCTGTCTTTTAAGGTGTTATTTTCCTCAAAATATTTTTGTGCCTCCTTTACCAAGCTGTTAATTCTCTTTTCATGATTTTCCTGTGTTACTTTCATTTCTTTTCTAATTTTTTCCTCTACCACTCATCTCTTTCTTTACATCCTCTAGGAATTCTTGTTGGGTTTCAATCTAATTATCTTTTAATTATATTTTTTCTTTGAGGCTTTAGTTGTAGCTGTTCTCACATTGTTGTCTTCTTCTCAGTTTATGTCTTGATCTTCCCTGCAACCATAATAACTTTTTATGGTCAAATTATTTTTTTTTGTTGTTTCCTCATTTTCCAACATATTTCTTTACTTTGAATTTTATGTTAAAGTTGGGCTCTGCTCACTTGAGGGTGGATAGCACTATACCTAGCTGTCTCACCCTGACCTTTTGTTAGTTCTTCCACTCCAAATTTTTATTTGAATCGTTATTTTAAAGTTGTTTGAAGGGGAATATTGGAAGAGTTCTGCTGGGTGGCTACCTCTAATCTACCATGTTCTGTGTATATTTTTAAAGCTGAAATTGGTAGATGAGTTATTTTGTATTCACACTGGCCTCTTTTGATGAGTCCCCCTTCCCTTCTTCAACTGAATAATTTTTGAGTCACCAGACTTAATTCCAGAGTTCTTTCCAGAAACCTGCAAGTGCTCTGGAGCAAATTGGGCATTGTGTGGTCCAGAAGACAAATACCTTTTCCATTCTCCCTGAATTCTGCCACCTTCTTTCTATTGATTGTTTTAAATTTATCCTATATATAGCTTGTTTATACACAATTCTTTGCATGTTCTCTCTGCTATTATAATTGAGTTCCTTAAAAGCAGGGACTATCTTACCTTTCTTTGTATTAGCACGTAGCACAGTGCTTGGCACTTAACAAACCATTAATTAACTGTCATGTAGTAAATTTCTCAGAGTCCAGTTTTCATGCCCTCCCATGAAGACATTAGAGAGAAGGCAAAAACCTAGAGAAAGACATGTTACTGGAGGACCAGAAGCCAAGATGTGGAAATAGTGGTCACGATAAGAAGGAGGACCCTCCACTGGACAAAGCCCTATTTACTCTATGTTAATTCTGGTTCTTACTTTCCAATTTCTCCTATGTTGAATTGTATACTTCTAGGTTATTGCAGCTCACCTATCTTCTGTTGGGAAGATTTGAAGTCAGCCCTCCCAAAATCTAAGGTGCATGCATATGAGAGATTCTCACCGAACCAGAGAATCTTAAGTACTGCAAGGAACCTCAGGGGCATATAATCCAACATGTGACTGAAAAAGAATATAAAACATACAGTGTGTATTTATCCAGCCTTTGCTTGAAGACTTCTAGTGAAGGTCAATCTGGTGCATCCCACCTTATCCATCTTTGGATAATTCTAAGATAGAAAAAGTATCCAAATTTGCTCTCTCACCTTGAGACTATTCCCTTTCTAGTCAAATCCTCTACACAGCTGCAAAAGTGATTTTTTTTTCCTGATTTGCAGGTCTGTTCATGTCGTTTTTCCTGCTCAATAAACTCTAGGGTCTTATTAACTCTAGAAACAAATAGAAGCCTCTATATTATTTATGTCAAAATGAAGTGCTCAGAACAGACAAACTCTCAGGTGCTTTCTAGATATATTTTATGATTTAGGATTCATAATATCTCAATTGCCCTTCATCTACTTAGTGAAATGAAGGTAATCATTACTATTTGGATAACTGAATCCAAATTATCCTCCAGGCTAGATATAAAAGAAATATATATATATATATAT